TATGGGGGGCAGCATGTGTGTATGGGGGCAGCATGGGGGGCAGCATGTGTGTATGGGGGGCAGCATGGGGGCAATGTATATGTGTGTCTGTTAAGGGGAGGGGGGCTTTTTTTTTTATAATATATATTTTTAAATATTTAATTTAAAAAAAATATATATTCTATGTCCCCCCTCCCTTCTTACCTTTACTGGGGAGGAGGGGGGAGGAGTGGGGACATATTTCATTCCCTGGTGGTCCCAGTGGTGATTCCCTGGTGGTCCAGTGTGGAGAGTGAGCTCTAGCCCGCGCTCCCGGGCTAGAGTTCACTCTCGCGAGATTTGGAGCGTTGCCGTGGTAACCGCGGCAACGCTCCAAATCTCACGAGAGGAGGACCCGGAGGAGCTGCAGACTGAGCTCCGGGTCCTCTCTCTCACTCCCCCGCCGGCTGTCAGCACAGTGCCTGCGGACCGGGGAGGGAGATCTCTGACCTCCCCTCCGGTCCGCAGGCACATTGCAGGGCTAGCACCTGCATGTGCTGACAGGGGAGGGAGAGGGAGACCGGCGGATTTCTCGGGGGGGGCAATTGCCCCGTTGCCCCCCCCCTGGATCCGCCAGTGCCTCTAACCTCTGTTCGTACTCCTACCTCCGATGCTCGCCTTAAAGGCTTCTCTAGATTTATAAATATAATTAGAGAGGAAATCTACTACTCTAAAATTAGCTTTGCTGCACTAATCTTCTACCGTGGGATTGAGGGGATAGGTTTTACAACCATCTGATAATATATATTGTCCTAGAGGTTAAACTAGGTTATTAATGTGTATAACTGCGCCTTCTTTTGCCTTTTTTTCCCACGCTGAATAGTACACAAATATACAAGCAGCTATGCTGTTTAATCAAGCTATATTCACGGGTGGTGAACTGATGAACTGATCCTCGTCACTTTAAATATACTGTTACAAAAAAGATAATTCCGTTAACAGTAATTAGTAACAATGTTCTATTAGGGACCGGGGAAGTTCAGTTCTAGCAGACAGTAAAGCCATTTTTTCGTATAGGCATAAGAGTTTCTAGCAATCCACTCTATTAGGGGTTGGGGGCAAAAATTCATCTACAAACAGAGTGCCAATAATCTATATCATTTTTTGGTAAACTAATTATGATATTCTAGTATTGTTGGGGTACACCCTATAATTATTTTAATAATAGTTTAGTTTTTCAAGACCCTTAATTTTGTAGGATTCCACTCCAGTAGACAAATACAGTCATCAGTGGGCATTTTTCCCTCTAGTGGAATCATTTTCAGTGGATTTATTTATTTTCATTTAGATGTGGTGTTTAAACACGTGTTTAGTATAAGAGTGTGGGTCATGTCCTTATGAACAAGGGACTTTTAACTTGATTTATTAAAAGTGACGTTTTAAATTTAACCAGTGTTCCATTGGTGATAATATTAACAGTACGGGAATCTCCAACCTCTCTTTTTTCTCTTTGTCAATTAA